TACTAATAACATCCCCATCTATGCCAACATCACTTTGAAAAATAGACCCAAAATATCTAAAGTGTTCACTCCTTTTAATGAATCGATCACCCATGTGTCATTTGCACCAAGATGCCCTCAAAAACAGAAAGAAATTTCAATCTAGCATGCATGGCATAAATTAAATTTATAAATCAAAACTAACTCGGGCGATACCTGGAGTAGTTCCTTCTCTCGTGAAGCCTTCCACTGCCGAAACTGTTCTGCTTCTTGCTTTATTCTATGCTGCAATTGCACCTGCAATTTTTGAAACTATCAGTAATTACAGAATACAGAAAACTGATGTAATAAGAAAATATTTCACTAGAAAATAAACCCCCCCAAAAAAAAAGTTTGTAAATGACATAATGCACAATTTAAAATGCTGCAAGCGTGACCTTTTGGGCCTTAATTGATTGAATTTCTTCTTGCAGTTTTTTTGCTGCTTCTTCACTCCTTTGCTTTTGCTTTACAAGCTGAACCTGGTTCTCTTGTGTCTTCTTGAGATCCAGTATCTGAAAGGAAAAATGAATAATAAAATTAAATGTTAGAATATATTGTCATAAATAAAGAGTAAAATGTCGACATAGCCCTTTGACTGTTACATGATGTTATTTTCATCCCAGTGTCTATAAGAAGTGTCAAATTAATGCTCAGACTCTTTAAATTGGAGCTGAAACAATCCTGCGTGGGGACTATTTCAGCTACATAAAAAATTTGGGGACTAAATTAGCTCTTTTATAAAATGACCCCCCTACAAAATTTCAAGGGGCTAATTTGACACTCTTATCTACAAATATATATATATATATATAAAAACAAAATTCCCCTTTTTTGACACGTGCGCCTCGTGACAAGCTTCAAGTGACTTTAACTTCTGGGAGTGTATATCTGGGAACTTCTGTAAATGGCCATCTGCAAGGCTTTCAACTTCAGCCAATAACCGATCCCTTTCGAGCTGAAAATATTTGAGTGTGAGCTAAATTTTAGAAGGAAAAGAGAATACATAGATTTACAAAACCAATTAAGAACATGTTTTGATAACCTGTACAGATCTTTTTTCATCCTCAAGTTCCATTAGTTTCTTTCCAAAATGCTGTTTGAGAGCAATAGTTTCAAAACCTCCAAACATTTTCATCTCAGACTGCAAGCAAAGATGCATATTTTAACCACCACGAGCAATTAATTTTTAAAAATTGTACTTCCTCTATCAAAAATGATAATGAGCCAAAAAAGCTAAAGGAGTTCTCAAAACATGCAAAGTGAGAATTTTTATTTAATCAAGATACTAAGGATAACATTAGTGTCACTTCGAACAAGCTAAATCCTTATATGGTCTTGCAAAAGAGAAACTATTCTTGCCATTTTAAGAAATTCATGTAGCAATGTATTAAGCATGGTTGTCATGTTTATTAAATTTCAGCAATGTGAAAGAAAAGAACAAAGGCCACCATATAAAAAAACAGCTTCTTATTATGAAAATATAACATCC